ATTTGGCACATATGTAGAGCTGATATAGCTCTATAAAGTTACCGGGTGGATTTTTTTAAAACCTCTTAGATAAAAAGGTATAGCCATTTAAAATTTTGAAACACTTCGTGTAACCGTTGAGTATAGGCTTCCAGCACCATATAAAAAACAAAGTTACCGGTCAGATTTTTAATATTTTACTTTGGAGATTTTAAAGTTCATTTGAAATTAAACATATACAATAATCGTACCCTTTGGGACCATAGTAATAAAAAGGCAAAACTTGTACTTAAAGAGAGTTCATTTATGGAGAGCAAAATATATAATGCTTTTATGAGTTGGGGCAAACTATGCCGTGCATTTAGAAAGAACTTAAATAGAGCGCGCACTTATAGAGCATGCGATTAGGGAGCTTTCACTGTAGTAATAAATAAAAATTATATAGGTTTTCAAAAAAATAATTGCCAGATTTATAGAACTTGTTCTATAAAGTTATACATAGTCAGCTCTTGGATAAAAAGTTATATGCAGTAGATTTAAATATGCCAGTATAGACTACCCAGCACCATACTAAAAATACATGTTAAAAAAGACCTTATAAAGAATCCAAGAACATAAGAACAAACTTAAGTTTAAAACCTATATATTTTTCACCGCTAATAACACTGGTCCAATAGAATGAATACGTAGAATGTAATAGGAGCTCTACTGCTGTTAGAGTTTTAGAAGTTAGTACGTAGTATGATTCTTTTCTGTGAAGCTGCGGTTAGTGGAACGTAAGCAAATACCCGGGCAATTGATTCATACCAACCAATCAGACAAACTTCTTATGCTGAAATACGGCATGTTTTACAATCTTTCCGAAAAACGATTTCGATCGATCTATCGTTAATTTTCACGAACGTTGTTTTTTTTTTTTGCATAAATTTGAACTTAATTAAAACATTAATATACATTAAGTGGAACTGCTAGATTAATATTTAATACGAATAACTATTCATACCTTCAAGACTTCATTGAACCCGAAATGAGCCAACAAGGACAAAATGGTATTTCGGAAATTAAAGACTTGGGAGTGACACCTACTTTACCACATCTAATCGAGTTTAGTGATAAATGTACTACAATCAAAAAACTTTCCACTGACATTTTACAAAAAGCAGAAAAGGAATCCACTAAAAATGTTTGTAATTCATTTTACAAAGAAGTGTGAAAAATTTTATATTAATTCCGGTTTTTATACTTAGACTTCTTTAGTTGGTTCGTCGAGCTCGAGCTTAATATCAGAGCCTTCGGTTCAAGCTTCTAAACAACAATTAGCTCGTTCGTTTATTCAACTTAGAGGGTTAAACCGTATTGCGATGTTGGAAAAAAGCAGTGACAAATTGACTACTCAGGAAGCGAAACTATCAATGGACCGAATCCATTTACAATTACAAGATTTAAACTATATGAAAACATTTCTTCAAAGAGAAATTCGCCGATGTAAATCATTCAGGTTTGTTAATATCTCATTATAGGCGTATTGCTAGAATTAATATTCATTATTGCTGTTATTGATTGTTAAATAATAGGTCAAAGTATCAGAAAGTGCCACTTATACCAGAAGAAGAGTTTCTATCAAAAGCTCCTCCAAGGTTAACTGCGCCACTTCCTGATGCAAATGCGTCCGAAAAACAGCAACTCCATCATCGAATGCTTCAGCGATTGAACTTTGAAAAGGAGGAACGGATCAGGTAATCGTTCATTACAATTGAATATCGCTAAATTGAGATTTATAATTTGTAGCCGAATGTTATTAATTAATATCAGTATTTTCTCCTTGAAGATTAAAAGAGGAGGTTACTGAAAAGCTAAAACGAAAGAAAGAGGCATCAGAGCGCGTCATGGCCAAGAAGGCTAAGATTGAACAGTTTAATAAAGAATTCGAAAAATTCATAAAGGTAACGTGCCAAATGAAATTTACCTGTACTTAAGATAATTATTAAATATTATTTAATTATCAAACAGCAAGCCAGGCCTTTGTCTGAAATTTTAGCTGACGAAGAAGTAGGCCAGCCTGACCAATCCGATCAAATGGATACATCATTATAATTTTATTAATAATTCTCATCTTAAAAAAAAAATTGTATATACATTTTTTTTTTTTTTAATTTCTTAACTTTCAAAAAGTATTTACCAATTGGCTATTAAAATACAAGGGTAGATTAATTGGTGATAATCTTCATATTATATATTTGTTTTATTAGATTTATCTTGGTCAACAAATTCTCTCTTTACATAGAATGTCGGCGTCAAATATGACATGCTGAACAACTACATGCACTGTCAGTATAAAGCTATGCGCCTAGTATTTCTTAAAAAAAAAATTCCTTTAATTTGGGGTGAAGTGTAGAACACCTACTGTCAAGACTCATTTTCAATATTATCTTCTACCATGGTCGCCTGAGATAAACATTTACACACATAATGGATTCCTTATCCTAATGATAGTCTAAAATAGAATGGCAAGAATTCATCCGTGGAAAATCATTGTCTATATATTGTTTATAAGACTAGTGGAACCGGTGATCTTATATTAGGTTGTGTTAATGACGATGGTATAATTTTAAAACAAAAGATATTTATATATACAATTAGACCTTCCTAAATGAAGATTCTTTAAATGGAGTCTATGAAAAACCTCAAAGTGTACGGTTCTGCCCGGCCTCAGCTCATATGATACTTATAGATTTTTACCTCCTTAAATGAAATAAACAAATAAATCTCTAAATGCTAAGGTTTGGCAATTTTTCATATAGGCTCTTCAACATTGCGTTTAGGCTATATATTTTTTGGAATTCATCTTTTTAGATATACCTACCAATCAAATTGCAATAAATTTGGAAAAACGTTTTTGACTCTGATTAACTCCTTATTTTTCCGAGCATCCTTACTATTACAGCATATAATGACTCAATTGACATGAAGAATTTTAAGTCACGATATTACGTATTAAAATATGAAGAAGTACATATCGTTATAGTATTCTCTTGATATCAATACGAGCTATTACGTATAACCAGTGATGTTATTCATCAAAATTATATGCATATTAATATTTATATAACTTAAAATCTGATTATAACTAATGTTTAATTAAAATTATTAAGGGTAGGGGCACTATTTTAAAACTATATATAAATTTAATGGTAATTTTTTTATATATTTAATTTTATAAAAAATTATATTAATTAAACTAATTTTAATTATTAAGTAAAAGTTGTAGAGTAGGTTTTTCTAATTCTAATAATAGCAAAATTATTATAGTTTTTTTTTTTAAATATTAACGGTGAGGCATTATTAAAGTTAATTAAAAATTTATTAAAATATGAATTATTAAAGATTAAAATATAATTGAAGAGTTGAAAGCATATTTGAAAATTTCTGAATAAAGAAGTAGTATGAATTTTCAATAGTACAGTTTGATTAATGAAAATTTTAAAAGATTTTTTAAGAAAATAGACAAATAAATTGGATAACAAAGTATATAAAAGAAGCACATGCATCAATTAGGTTGTTAAATTTGTTAAAAGAAAAGAATATCTAAATATATCATGTCAAATTATTTGAATTAGTAGTTTGAAAAGTTTTGCAGTAAGATGGTATATTGAAAATAAATATCAGAATTTTAGCAAATTTTACAAAATTAGAAATAATATAATATAATAATTTAACAAGTAATATTTATGATTCTAAGTGTTAGTTTAGCTATAATATGTTATATAAAATTAGATTAGCTATATATAGGATGCAAAAGGTTTTAGTAAGTTTTTTATCAAGAATAAAATAGTTCTAAGAATTTTAAATATATTAGATATTTTGAATAAGTATAGTTTTATATATGTTACTATAATACAAGTTGGATTATATATGTAAAAGGTTTAAATAAGCAAAACTTATAGTTGGCTTGCAAGTATAAAATCTTGTATAGAATCTGTATAATAATATATAAACAAATTACTTAAATTAGATACTAAAAAAAAGCATGATAATATAGTAAAGTAGTCATATTGTTAATCTTTAAGTGAAGGTTTAGAATTCAAATTCCAGTATTAGTAAAAATTTAAAATTTTTTTATATTATAGTTAATTGTCTTTTGCTATTAGTTAGGATTAGATATCTGTTATCTGTATTATACTAACATAACTAAAAGGTCATATGATATTCATGCAATAGTTACACCTTATACAAAGAAACATAAACTAGTATCAGGTGATGTGAACCTATAATAAGTTCTTGTAGCTATATAATCTACAAAAATTAGAAAAATAAGAGTTTACTTAAAAAATCTAAATAGAAAGATAATTCAAACTTTTGATAATGCTATTGTAAAAACTAGATTTATGAAACAGAATTAAAACTTATAAAGTTAAATAAAGATACAACTTTTAGAAAGAAGCTGTTATAATCAGTTAAATTGTTGAAATCCATTTTAGAGAAAAAGATTATATATTTAAAAACATATAAATTAAAGATATAGTTGTATCTATCTTTTTGGATTATTTAGACTAGAAGCTTAGTAGAATTTAAATTAAATACTAAAGTAATAAAGATATATTGTAAAGTAAGTATTAGAATTAAAGTAATTTTATAAGTACATAGTAGTTTAATAGTATACTTTGATCACAAGTATTAGTTTTAGATATAGTATTATTAAGTCAGTTATAAGAATAGAATACAAAAGATTCTAAAAGGTTTAGTACAAGGTCAAAGGTTCCTTATATGAATGAACTGTTTTAAAGACTTAGTAATCATAATATATTTTTATTAATATTGATCAGGATTATTAATAAATATAAATAGACAGATAAATATGAAAACTAAAATATTTAAATAAGAAACTTACAAACAGATTTTAGATATGATAACTAGTATAGAATCTTTAGCCAGATTACTTAAATTAGACAATAACTAAAGTTGTATAAATAATTAGTTGTATATTCTTTTTATAATTACTTTATGTAGTTATAATATAACTATTAGTTAAATGTACTATTAATAAAATTTTGAGTTACAAGTACTTATCTTAATATTTAAAAAAAAATTAGATACTAAAAGAAAAATAATAATCCTAGTATAATAATTGAGTTATTATTTTTTAAATAATAGATTTAGTATTCAAATTCTATCTATATCAAAATTTAAAAATTATATCTGTATTATAATAACTGTCTTCTGATAATTAATTAAATTTATAAATTAGTAATCTTAGATGTACTAAGCTAGATTTTATCTACTATTAAGAATAGAGGGTATGTAGATCATTTTTATATAGTTTTATATGATATTTTAAAATTTTCATATAAAATTGAAATATACTACTTATAAAACCTTTTTAAATTACAACCAACTTTTATTAAAATTTCACAAAATATAAATAAAATAATTTATCTATTATGATAAAATTTTGAACTATTATTATATTTAAAAAATATATATTTATATATGTCACAAAGTTTTTCTAGAACAGCTCAAAATTTTCTAGATAGTACAAAAGTACTAAATTTGATTGGTTAATTTACAGAACCCTATAAGTTAATTTAATTAATAAATTTTTATACTTAATCTTTAAAAGATTATATCTTACTGAGTTTTTAATTAAATTTAATAATTTTACTATTATTAAAATTAAAAAGACCTGCTTTACAAACTTTTCTTATAAATTAATATTAGTTTACTTAATATAATTTTTTATAAAATTAAATATAAAAAAAATTTACTATTGAGTTTATATATAATTCCAATATAGTACCCTCTACTCTTAAAAGCTCGAACATTTATTAAAGTATAATATTATATATATATAAAGGAGTATTAATAATTAGTATTGTAATATAAATCTTTGATAATACTATCAAATTGATAAAAGTTTATAAATATCTTTTAAAAATATTAGTAAAACAAACTAATTAACAAATATATATAAAAAAGTATATAATCAACTAGGCTGCCAAATTTACTAAAGAAAAAAGATGCAAAAATATTATATATTAAGTCATTTGAATTAATAGTTTGAAGTTAAAAACAACTTAAAAGAGGATTAGTAGAGAAAGATAAAGAAGATAGCAGAAAGTAGATATTGGAGTCTTAGTAAACTTTATAAAAATAAAAATAGTATAATATAGCAATTAAATAAATAATTTCTGTGATTGTAAGTGTTAAATAACTATAGTATATTATATAAAATTAGATTAGTATATATAAGACATAGCAGACTGTAGTAAGTTTTATGCCAAAAATAAAATTGTTCTAAGAATACTAATAAGAATCAAGAACTATATTTTTATAATACAAATAAATTGCATATATAGAAAGTTTAAATAGGCAAAACTTGTAGTTGGTTTATAAAAATAGTATTTAATATAGAACCTATATAGTAATATATTAGATGAACTATTTAAATTAAATACCAAAAGTATCCCTTAGATTGTAGGCTAATACAAGTAAATTTGATTGTGTTTTTGTATTTTTTTAGCTCTGATCTACTTTTTTAAATTATTAAAATATATAAATAAAATTTGGTATAATAATATTTAAAAATAAGGATTACTTTTTTGCAGTATTTATTTTTAAAT